ACATGCACACACAAAACACATACACATAACATACACATAACACACACATACACATAACACACACACACATGCGCAACAGAAGCCGAGCCTGATTCGGAGTGGCTTCTCTTGTGTTTTTTTCCATTACTTCCTCAGTTCATTTTTCTGCTGCCAATTTTAGAAGGCTATAAGTCATAGTTGTTGTTAAACTTTGTCAGTTAAAATGTAACTCTAAGAACAAAGTCATGTGAGCTGTTGTAGTCAGAGGGCTTTTGGAGAGATGTCACAGCGGGAGGCACGCCTTCTTGTGCTTTGTGATGGCTGCGGTAGCCATGTATCACTGGGCATTTTCTGGTGTGTGTTACACACTGTGCCCACAGGGCAGTCTTGACTTGCTGAGGCCCTGGGCTCAGCATTTATGCCACAGCTCCAGAGGGCCGCTTAGCAGAGGAAAGGAGGTGTGAGGAGTCGAACAGTCAGCATTTACTCTGTGTGACCCAGGCATTGAGTGGTCTCATTAAGGGTGATGTGTTACAAGTTCCGCACTTCCTTTTCTCCTAGAACTGACTGGATCTACTTTCTCATAAACCTCAACCCAGCAGAATTCAGAAATTAAGAGGCCCAAAAGGAGTGCCTGGCTTGGTTTGAGGCTGGAACAGCACAGCTTCCTCACCCCGACTTGGGAGACTGGAAAAGCCAGGAAGGGCAAACAGTCTCTGTGCTTGGAGACCTCCAAGCTATACTGTTTGGTTTGCTGTGAGACTGGAAGCCTTTTGAGGGCAGAGCTTTGTGTTTTTCCTGAGGAGTCCTAGTGCTAAGACAGGGCCGGGCACACAATGAGCCAATAGGTCTTTACAAATGCTTGTGCCTGGCTGGGCGTGGTGGCTCACGCCTGTAATTCCAGTACTTTGGGAGGCCAAGGCAGGTGGATCGCCTGAGGTTGGGAGTTCAAGACCAGCCTGACCAACATGGAGAAACCCTGTCTTTACTAAAAATACAAAATTAGCCTGGTGTGGTGGCACATGCCTGTCATCCCAGCTACTTGGGAGGCTGAGGCAGAAGAATCGCTTGAACCCAGGAGGTGAAATTTGCGGTAAGCCAAGATCGCGCCATTGCACTGCAGCCTGGGCAACAAGAGTGAAACTCCGTCTCAAAAACAAAACAAAAAAACCCAAAGAAACTTGTGCCTTAAACCATGATGGAAGACGAGACAGCAGCCTTTGGTTCGGTAAGGCAGCGGGAGGCCCCTCCTCTCTCCAGCCCTCCTTTTCTGCTTGCTCTCTGCCTGCTGTTCTTCCTCGTCTCATTGTGGGCTTTAAGGGGAGTGGGCGAGCCAGGGTGGGAAAGGGAGGCTTTCTCAGTGACCAAGTCCTCACACTTTCAGGCTAGGTGTGATCTTTGTGAGGCAAAACTAGAATTTGGACTATTGCTCTTTAAAATAGAGGATTGTTTCCATCCGTCATCCAATCAGGGAATTACGGGCAGGGCTGATCGGTCTGATGCCAACCTCTGCTCTTGATGTTCAAGCTGCTTTCAGGACGGAGCCCTGCTGTTTCTGCCGTGGATTCTCCACTTGTTGGAAGTTCACTTGTACCCCATCTGCTGCATGGTGGGGGGACGTTCCCTAGACATACCGTCCAGTGCCTCGATAGGAAGTGCAAGGCCACCTCACTGCCCAGGTACCAGGCCCTCTAGGCCAGTGTTTCTTGAATTTGGTAGGGTTCGTGACGCCGTTTTTGAAATGGCTCCCGTTGGGTTCTGCTGGCACGCTCAGCGTTGTTGCATTTCTCTTTCGGGCCTTCTTTCTTGCTTCAGAACAAAAGGTTTTTTTTTTTGTTGTTGTTCTGTTTTGTTTTGTTTTTAGATGGAGTCTGGATTTCTCGCTCAGGCTGGAGTGTGGTGACACAATCTTGGCTCACTGCAACCTCTGCCTCCCTGGTTCAAGTGATTCTCCTGCCTCAGCCTCCCAAGTAGCTGGGATTATAGGTGCCTGCCACCAAGCCTGGATTTTATTTATTTATTTGTTTATTTATTTTTACTGTTTTTAGTACAGATGGGGTTTCGCCACGTTGGCCAGACTGGTCTCGAACTCCTGACCTCAAATGATCCACCTTCCCTCGCCTCCCAAAGTGTGGGGACTACAGGTGTGAGCCACCATGCCTGGCCTTTTCCCTTTCTTTTTTGCTTTTTTGAGACGGAGTCTTGTTCTGTCGCCCAAGCTGGAGTACAGTGATCTGATCTTGGCTCACTGAAACCTCTGCCTCCTGGGTTCAAGCAATTCTCTGCCTCATTCTCCCGAGTAGCTGACATTGCAGGCACCAGCCAGCACTCTTGGCTTTTTTTTTTTTTTTTTGTAGAGATGGGATTTTGCCATGTTGGCTAGGCTGGTTTAGAACTCCTGATCTCAAGTGATCCACCTGCCTGAGCCTCCCACAGTGCTGGGATTACAGGTGCAAGCCACCACGCCTGGCTTTTCTTTTCTTTCTTTCTTTTTCTTTTCTTTTCTTTTTTTTTAAATCTCTTCAGTAAATACATACTTCAAAGCTACTGTGCTCAGGGCACTGTGCCCAGTGCTGGGTACCTTGGTGAACAAGACAAGTCCCTGTCTTCATGGAGTTTTCATTCTAATGGAGAGTGGCAGACAGAGGCCAACTCACCCTGCAAATGACTTTTGCTTACATTGATGACTGGAGCCATGAAGGAATGGTCAGATTGCTAAGAAGGCGTACAGCAGGGAGGCTGACATAGCCTGTGGGAATGGGTAGAGGGCCCCTGGGATTGCTGCCTCACCTCTCTGGGCCTTATCTGTGAAATAGATGTGCTACCATTTGCTTCATAGGGCGACCATGAGTAATGGGTAAAATAATGCCTGAGAAAAAGCACTTTGACTCACATTGGCTGCCCTCATAATTCTTTCCTAATAAAATCTTTTGTTTGTTTGTTTGTTTGTTTGTTTTGAGACGGAGTTTCGCTCTTGTTACCCAGGCTGGAGTGCAATGGCACGATCTCGGCTCGCCGCAACCTCCGCCTCCTGGGTTCAGGCAATTCTCCTGCCTCAGCCTCCTGAGTAGCTGGGATTACAGGCACGTGCCACCATGCCCAGCTAATTTTTTGTATTTTTAGTAGAGACGGGGTTTCATCATGTTGACCAGGATGGTCTCGATCTCTCGACCTCGTGATCCACCCGCCTCGGCCTCCCAAAGTGCTGGGATTACAGGCTTGAGCCACCGCGCCCGGCCCCTAATAAAATCTTTAGTGACCAGTCTCCCAGATCTACTTTTCCTCTTCTCTTTTGGATAACGTGATCTCATAATTCAACCTTGCTTGGACAAACAGAAAAACCCATTCTGAATTCCAAACTGGCTTTAGAAAACATTTTCTTGGAGGGTGGTGGGAAGTGGGGTGGGGTTTTGGGAAGGGACACTCTCCCGGGCCCTTGGTCGCTGTCTTGTTGCCAATCCCAGTTCCCCTGCAGATGGCTTGTGAAGGACGTGCGTGGGGGTACACGCTCTGGTCCTCATGCCCCGGGTGCCACCCACCTGAGACTGCCTGTCCTCTGGCCACAGCTTCCCAATACTCTGTCTATGGGGAAGGATTTTAAAGACTCAGGAAGTGAACTCATTTTAAAAAATGTCCTCCCCCTACTTTTTCAAAACAGTGCAGCCTTCCTGGAAGAAAGCAAACAAAACAAGTGTGACTGTTTAAAAAATGATTGGAAAACCCGTTCTGAAGCGTGTGAGTGTGCATGGGCTTCTGGGCGGATGTGTCACCCCTGGTTGGGCTGTTCCCTTTTTGGCTTACTCCCGGCGTCTGTGTGAAGAGGAGGCAGGGCTGCCCGCGCAGTCTTATCAGAGGAGGCAGCTGGTGTCGGAGTGGGGCCTGGGGACCGGCTCCCCTCAAACAGCTGCGGGCCCCTCGCCCTCGCGGACCTCAAACACACAGACAGACACGGATGCGAGTCCACACGCGTGTGTGAGGCCAAGTCCAGCTGAAATTAGTACAATGACCTAATCGCCGCCAAAGCGCGGAAGACTTCTGCTCTGCATGTGGGTGACTATTTTGGGTTTCTAGGTGTTCACATGTGATTTGTGGCATTCGCAGTGTTGTTATTAATAAACCGTTGGCTGTGTGGAGGCTGAGGATGAAGCCTTTTCATTTCAGCCATCTGGTCAGAATGCTTCTCCTTTGATGAGGGAAAAACCTTTGCTGTGTTTCAACTGGAACGCTGCCTCCCAATTAAGGGGACGGCACATCGCTGAGTTGTCCTGTCTTTGCAGGAAGAGCCAGCCCAGGCTCTAAATGCCAGCTCTGTCCGGGAGGGAGAATGCCTTTCCTATTGATTGTGGTTTGGTATGCAGTTCAGGCTCTGGCTTGAAGGGACGCTGGGTCAGGAAAGCCAGCCTGCGCTGTTTCCCGGGTGGGCTGGCTTGGCGCTCAGGTTTTCCATTGTCAGCGGTGACAGCGTTGCTCCAGACGCCCTCAGGAGACATTCCTCGGCTTTCATAACAACGAAGGACTTTTTTCTTCTGACTCATCTTTAGAAGATTTCCCCCCCTTTCATTTGAAAGTAAATATAATTAGTAACAGGCAGACATACTGTATATAGCCAGCCCTGCCTATGCGAGAGAGTTATAATTAAACATGCATGCTGTCTGCTGCTCACTGTCTGCTAAAGGCCTGGCTGAAGTCACCTGTAGGGAGAGGGGTTTATCTTGAAGCAGCAGCCTGGGGTGGATGCTGCAGAGAGAGAGGAGAGACCGGTCCTGCCTTTGAGTCCAACGTCCAGTCCGAAGCTAAGATTGAGCTATTGACCAAAGGGCAGCTGTGCCCGTCGGCCCTCGGCCTGCCTTTGCCTTGGTCCTTCTCCATTCTTAACCTTGGGCAGCCCTGGGCGACCCTGCGGGGTCAGGGCGGGAGTTGTCCCCTCTTGGGGACAGAGTGATGGTGGCCAACTATGGTTGTCATAGTAACGAGGTGGCTGCTGCCACTGCTGTTGGCTCAGGGAACACCTGCCTGCCTGCAGGTTATGATCTGCCCTCTCTGGGCTGAGGCGCCAAGACCACTTGCCTTTGTTCCCAGCTCCCTGCCTGGGATGCTGGCAGCCAGACCTCAGCCCCGCCCTGCATGGCAGGAGCTCAGGTAGGTTATCCCCAGGTGACCCTCGGCGAAGGGCAGGCTGGGCGTTTGCAGGCCACCCAGGCCCATAGAGAGCTCAGATTCTGCCGAAACCAGTGGCTCAGGCAGCCCCAGGAACATGCATACCATGTGGGCAGATTGTGAGATCACCACGCGGCCAAGATTGTGAGATCACTGCACAGCCATCGGGCTTGGTGACACAGGCTCGGAGACACGGGAGAAGCCACTGTGCCTCCCGCCCCTCCGGTGGGTGTGGCAGTCCCTGGATGACTAGTTGGTGCGGGCCTTCCTTGGCCTGGATGGAAGGCAGCAGGCGTCATCTGAGCCACAGGCACCTTTCCCCAAGTTGCTCAAAGTGTTTTCCGAGCAAACAGTTGTTTCATAACACCCGTGAGAAGTAGGTGGGGTGACAAAGCATTCTTTGTCCCTGTCTTGCAGATGGGGAAATTGAAAAGCCTGCCGGTCCTGGTGTGAGGCCAAGAGAGGGAGAAGGTGCTCTCCTGCCTGGGGCTCTTGGCATGGAGCGCCGGGGCCAACTTGTGCCCTGTCACCAACTCCTGTGGAAAGTGGGGCAGTCCCAGCAGAGAAGGAGGCCAGAAGTAGGAGAGGCCCAGGGCTTCTCCCTGAGCACTGGAGGCCACAGATGCCATGGCAGGAGCTTGTCCCTGGGTCCCGCTGTCCGAGGTGTTGAAACTGGCCATTGGCAACTCGGGAGGTGTCAGCGCTCTCTCCTGCTCAGCTTGCTTGAAGTTGCTGGACTCTTGGAGGGGGCCACAGATGCCTTTTGAGCACCCCGTTCTGGCCCGGGAATTGTTCCGTTCCAGTGGTACCTGTGGGGGATGTGGTCCTGCCTTTATGGTGCTCGTGGGAGACAGTCACACATAAGGAGCAATCATTTCAGAGTGACATGCTGTAAGAACAATAAAAATGCATAATGGGACAGAGATTGGCCGGAGGGGAGGGTAAGAGGAGGAACAACTTCTTAATTTCATTTCATTTTATTTTATTTTTGAGACGGAGTCTTGCTCTGTCGCCCAGGCTGGAGTGCAGTGGCACCATCTTGGCTCACTGCAACCTGTGCCTCCTGGGTTCAGCAATTCTCCTGCCTCAGCCTCCTGAGTAGCTGGGATTACAGGCACCCACCACCACGCCCGGCTAATTTTTGTATTTTTAGTAGTGACAGGGTTTCACCTGTTGGTCAGGCTGATCTCAAACTCCTGACTTCAGGTGATCCACCCACCTCAGCCTTTCAAAGTGCTGGGATTATAGGCGTGAGCCACTGTACCCGGTGCGTGGCTGATTTTTAAAAATGTTTTTGTAGAAATGGGGTTTTGCCATGTTGCCCAAGCTGGTCTTGAACTCCTGGGCTCAAAGGATCCTCTCACCTGAGCTTCCCCAAAGTCCTGGGATTACGGACATGAACCACTGTGCCTGGCTGAGCCACGGTTTTACATAGGGGATCAGAGAAGGCATCTGCACAAGCCACTCCCCAAAGGGCAGATGGAGCCAGATCAGAGGACCGGCATTCAGCGGGAGGAAAATACTGGGACAAAAGCCCGGAGAGGGGAGTGAGGGTGGCCTGTCCAAAGCTCGGATGCTGGCGAGGAGGGTGTGAGGGCCGTGAGCAGGGCTGTGGTCCTGTAGGGAGGACCTTGTTGGTTGTGGGGCCGTGTGTAATTCTGGATGTTAAGGGAGGTGATACATAATTCCGGATTTCTTTGGAAGGTGGTGCCGGCATTCTTTCCTTATTGATTGGATGTGGGGCATGAAGAGGGATGAGTTAAGGACAGTCTCTAGGTGTTTGCTGGAGGTGGAAGACGGAGCTGTTGATTGCGATGGGGAAGGCTGGGGAAGACCATGTGTAGAGGGAAGTGAAGAGGTGGCCTTAGGCGTGGCAGGCTGGGGGGCCTGCGTCTCAGTGGCTGTGAGTGGAGCCTGGGCACCTGCATTTCTTTTTCTTTTTTTTTTTTTTGAGACGGAGTTTCGCTCTTGTTACCCAGGCTGGAGTGCGATGGCGCGATCTCGGCTCACCGCAACCTCCGTCTCCTGGGCTCAGGCAATTCTCCTGCCTCAGCCTCCTGAGTAGCTGGGATTACAGGCACGCACCACCATGCCCAGCTAGTTTTCTGTATTTTTAGTAGAGATGGGGTTTCACCATGTTGACCAGGATGGTCTCGATCTCTCAACCTCGTGATCCACCTGCCTCGGCCTCCCAAACCTGCATTTCTTAAACTCTCCCCTTGGATCATGGAGAAGAAAGGGAGAGAAATGAGCTGCACTTTTGTTTCGTTTTGTTTTTAGACAGAGTCTCGCTCTGTTGCCCAGGCTGTAATGCAGTGGTGCCATCTCTGCTCACTGCAACCTCTGCCTCCTGGGTTCAAGCAATGCTCCTGCCTCAGCCTCCCGAGTAGCTGGGATTACAGGCACATACCACCATGCCTGGCTAGGTTTTTGTATTTTTAGTAGAGATGGGGTTTCACCATATTGGTCAGGCCGGTCTTGAACTCTTGACCTCAAGTAATCCATCTGCTTCAGTCACCCAAAGTGCTGGGGTTACAGGTGTGAGCCACAACGCCAGGCCTACACTTGCTTTTCAATTTCCCCAAGCCTCCCAGGGCTCAAACCCTGTGGTTTTCTTTCTTTCTTTTTTTTTGAGACAGTCTCGCTCTGTCGCCCAGGCTGGAGTGCAGTGGCATGATTTGGCTCACTGCAGCCTCCGCCTCCCGGGTTCCAGGGACTCTTGTGTCTCAGCCTCACACGTAGCTGGGATTACATGCACGAGCCACCACACCTGGCTAATTTTTGTATTTTTAGTGGAGTTGGGGTTTCACCATGTTGGCCAGTCTGGTCTCAAACTCCTGACCTCAAATGATCCGCCCACCTGGGCCTCCCAAAGTGCCGGGATTACAGGCGTGAGCCACTGTGCCCGGCCAACCCCATGATTTTCAATGATAAGACTCCTGCTCCCAGAGCTGGAGGAGGCCTGCTAATGGTGCTTTGCCATCGAGGAAAAGAGACCAGCTGGGGTTGGTGCATGGGGTGCAGAGAATACCCTGCTGCCAACTGGCCTGCTGTCCCTTCCTATCCAGCCCCCTGCCATTCACATCAGATCCTTGGGGATTTGGTGATTTGCCCTTGAACATTGTTATTAGCCTGATCTTTTTTTTTTTTTTTTTTTTTTTTTGTTTGAGACAGAGTCTCATTCTTGTCATCCAGGCTAGAGTGTAGTGGTATGATCTTGGCTCACTCTAATCTCCGCCTCCTGGGTTCAAGCGATTCTCCTGCCTCAGCCTCCCCAGTAGCTGGGATTAGAGGCGCCTGCCACCATGCCTGGCTAATTTTTGTATTTTTGTGTTTTTTTTGAGATGGAGTTGCTCTGTCACCAGGCTCGAGGGCAGTGGCGCAATCTTGGCTCACTGCAACCTCCACCTCCTGGGTTCAAGCAATTCTTCCGCCTCAGCCTCTCGAGTAGCTGAGACCACAGGTGCGTGCCACCATGCTCGGCTAATTTTTTTGTATTTTTAGTAGAGATGGGGTTTCAGTGTGTTGGCCAGGATAGTCTCGATCTCTCGACCTTGTGATCCGCCCGCCTCGGCCTCCAAAAGTGCTGGGATTACAGGTGTGAGCCACTGCGCTCGGCCAATTTTTGTATTTTTAGTAGAGACGGGGTTTCACCACATTGGCCAGGCTGGTCTCGAACTCCTGAGTTCGTGATCCGCCTGCCTCGGCCTCTCAAAATGCTGGGGTTACAGGAGAGAGCCACCGCGCCCGGCCATTAGTAGCCTGATCTTATTACCTGTGGATGAGGAAAGACCTAAGTCCTGCCCCTCTTTTGTTTTATAAAATGGAATGGTAAAAGTTTAGCAATTTATTCTAAAAAGAGGCATTTTGAAAGGGATGGGCCCATGTGAGCAGCAAGAGCTGTCAATCAAAGGGAGTTTTACTAGGCAAGAGGGCAGGGTTCTTTTTGGCCATTAACTTCGCATGCAGCTTTGAAAAACTTGCTAATCCTTCCTTTAGTATATGCATTAGAAGCTATAAGATGACTTGCATCAGTGAAAATAGCCTGAGCCCACTGGTTGGTTGGTTGGTTGGTTTTTAGACGGAGTCTGGCTCTGTTGCCCAAGCTGGAGTTCAGTAGTGTGATCTCAGCTCACTGCAACCTCCACCTCTCAGGTTCAAGTGATTCTCCTGCCTCAGCCTCCCAAGTAGCTGGGACCACATGAGTCCGAGCCCACTGTTGAACCCACCTACTATATCTCATTGCAGCCTCAACTCACAACCATTAATGCAATGTAGCTTCCAATCCCAAGTCTCCAAGCAGTGATTCTGGGGCAGAGGATGCACTGTACATACATCTATGGACATTTCTTGGCATCTCACTACAATGTGGCATGGGGTTTGTTTCTTAGATTTTACACAGGAAGCTTACTTACTTATGTATACGCTGAGTGTCCCAAACCAAAAACCCCAAATCAGAAATGCTCCAAAAATGGAAACCTTTTGAACATCAGCCTGATGCTCAAAGGAAATGTTCACTGGGGCATTTTGGATTTTGGAGTTTTGGATTTGGGATGCTCGACTGATAAGTATATTATGCAAATATTTGAAAATTCAAAAAAATGAAAACTCCGAAACACTGTTATTCCCAAGGTATTTATTTATTCTTTTTTTAAAGTTTCCTGCACCTGCAGTCCCAGCTACTCAGGAGGCTGAGGTGGGAGGATCACCTGAGCCTGGAGGCTGAGGCTTCAGTGAACCATGATTGTGCCACTGCTCTCCAGCCTGAGTGACAGAGCAAGACCCTGTCTCAACAAACAAACAAACTCACTCCTTGGGTAATGACCCAGAGGTCACCCATCGTGACCGATTTTTCCATGGGTCTGAACCACTGTCATTTGTATGGCGCTTTATAAAAGCTGACAAAGGGCTTCCACAGTCATTTTCTCATTTGCTTTTCCCCAGCGCCCATATTGTTATTGGCGATGTATGGAAGCAGAAGCTGAGAGAGGTTAGGTCATTTGTCCAAAGTCACACAGCAAGGGGAGACCTGCAGCTGAGTCCCAGTCCTTGGCCTCTGTTCTCACACTTTCCCAAGTCCCTGTGGTGGGGACTTTGGTGAGAGCAGGCCAAGGCAGTTCCAGGCATCTGGGCTGATTGTGTGACAGTGAGTTTGGTAAGCCGAGCCTGGGAGGTGTTTGCAATCCCCTGAGCTGGCTCCTGGGAATGCGGTCTGTACCGTGCAGGGCTGTGTCGCAATGTGACTAATGGATGAGAAGGTTGAGGAGGAAAGCCATTACTTCACCAATGTGAATCAAGGTCATTAGTCACCTCGGGAAGCACGCGGAGCTGCGACGTTCAGGAGGGAGGCACGCTGCTCCTGAGCCAAGCCACGGTGTGGCCTGGCACTGGTCCCATGCAGCAGGGAGAAGGGGAGCTTCTGGAAGTGAGGATGAGCCGGGCTGCCAGGCCTAGGACCCTGGCCATGTGTGCATCCGCCCCTCCCGAGAAAAAGAGCCCAAGTTCTGTGTGGGGTCACGAGGGGGGCAATGGTGCAGTCCCCAGGAGGTGTCGGCAGGAGCTGACTGGCCACCATCTCTGGCGGCGGTCTCCTGGGGACGGTGACTGGAGGATCAGCAGCCTCTGACCACTGGTGTCACCTGAGGAAATCAGGCCAATCATGAGCCACCAGAATGTCCTCTCCCTAGTGTAGCAAGCCACACTCGCTGCCTTTCTGGGAGAGTTCGAAGCAAGCCACCTGGGCAGGTTCTTTCCAAAGTTCCCCGCCTCAGAGGAGGAAGCTCCATGGGTGGAGGCCAGGCCTGAGGCCATCCTGCTCTGGGCCAGAGAGTACCTGTGTCTGAGGAGCGAGGACATACCTCGTCTGGCTGAGCCTTCATTTCACACCGGCAGCCTGAATCCCCCAGCATGGCTTGCTTTCGGGCTCCCCTCCCCTGGGGCCCGACCCTGAAATGCGCTTGTCCTTTATCCCTCAGGTCTGTGTCCCTTCCTCAGAGAGGAAAAAGCTAGCCCCTTCCCCAGTCTTCGGGTTCTCCGAGGCCCTTCTTATTCGCAGAATGCATCTGGCCTATTTATTTGCTTGCTTGCTTCTGATGTCTTCTCTTGCTGAAAGGTAAGTTAGGTGGGAAAAGGAATCAGGCCAGCTTTGGTTCACCCGTTCCATCCTCCACACCTTTCTTTTTTGATGTGTTTACTTATTTGAGAGTTGGAGTCTTTCTCTTCACTGAGGCTGGAGTGCAGTGGCACAATCATAGCTCACTGCAGCCTCGAACTTCTGGACTTGAGTGATCCTCCTGCTTCGGCCTCCTGAGTCACTAAGACTACAGGTGTGCATCATCACCATGCTTGGCTGATTAAAAAAATAGTTTTAATAGAAAAGGTAGTTGTTTTAATACAAAAGTTACGACACGTGGTAGTGTGAACCTGCAGTGCCAGCCACTGAGGAGGCTGAGGTGGGAGGACCACTGAGGAGGCTGAGGTGGGAGGACCACTGAGGAGGCTGAGGTGGGAGGACCACTGGAGCTCAGGAGATTGAGTCTGAGTGAGCTGAGATTGCACCACTGCATTCCAGCCTGGCAACAGAGTAAGACCCTGTCTCAAAACAATTTTTTTTTTTTTTTTTTTTGGTAAACGTGGGGTCTCACTATATTGCTCAGGCTGATCTTGAACTCCCGGGCTCAAGAGATTGTTCCGTCTCAGCCTCCAGTGTCACTGGGATTACGGGTGTGAGCCACTGAGCCTGGCTCCCCTCAAAACTTTTTGTGGAGCCTGACACCAGGGAAACCCAATATCTATCCTTTGAATGAATGAATGAATGAATGAATGAATGAAAGGAAGTAAATGAAGAGGAGGTGGAGGTTAGAAGGGGCACATTTTAGATGAGTAGATACCATGCAAAGACCCTCCTGGGTGCCATCACCAGTGCGGGGCAGCCCATGAGCCCCCAGAGGGAGGTCTCCCTGACACCCTGGCAGCTCAGCCTGGGGCCAAGCAGGAGTCACATCCAAGGGCTGGGTGATTATCTGATGAATGAGTGGGTTGTGTGGATGAGTAAACAGGGACTGACCCAGAGGTCGGGTGTAATTCAGCCTCTGAAACTGCATGTGTCAATATGAACCGAAGGGCCCAGGAATGTGTTTTCTGTTGATGTCAACTTGCTGCAAAGGACCACACCTGCTTCTCGGTCCAGGAACGTGGGAAAGGGAAAGGCATGGTTTGTTTTGGTGGAGATGGAGGAGCTGGTAACAGCGGAGGGATGCCCTTCTTCTGATTCAGAGCGGGGAGGTGCTCTGGGCCCCTGCCACTGCCTGATTGGGTAAGTCAGCCCATGGCCCCCAGCCCTTCCCTGCCAGACGCCCTGGCAGACGGCTTGTTCTGACAAGTACGTGCTTTCTGGATGGAACAGCCTCCCTTTTGTCCAAACCCTTCCTTTGAATTTAAAACATTCCTCTGCCTTTGAAGAGGAAAGGAATGCGATCAGGAAGAGGAGGCTGTATCTTGTTTGGACACTCAAGCCCTCAGCTCCTGCCCAGAGAGTTTCTGTAATTTCGCTCCCACACCACGTCATCCCTTTCAGCGCCCGGCCGGGTGCTGTGGCATCCATGGCTTCATCCTTCTGGGAAGTCGGGGTTGCGTTCCCTTGAATCTTCTCCCTTTCCTCTCCCCAGCTTTTGGTTGTCCTGACAAGAGGACGTGGCATTTGAGCAGTGGCTTCTGGTGCCCAGAGTGAAGCCCCACCCAGGCACCCTGACATGACTTTGGGAACGTTCCTGGCACAGCAAGCAGCACTCTGGAGAAGTGCAGCCTCCATGCTCCTTGTCGATTTCAGTTTGAACTCCACAGTTTGTGTGACTCATCGAGGGGTTTGGTTTGGCTCTCGCTGATGAGTCTCTCATCGATGGCAGGTGACATGCTTGTCCTCTCCTCCCCTCGAGTCCTCTCTCTTGCCCCAGGGCTTCTGGTGGCGAGGTTTGACCTCCTCTTCATAAGCAGCGTGAGGGCTACTGTGCTGCCCGCTGGCCCACGCTCCAGTATTGTCTTTGAGGTGGGTACGCTCATTCCCTTGTAATGTGCTCCAAAGCGTAAGCCCAGGGGAGCCATGAGACAGGGAACCCATGTCTGTTTCTCCATTTGGTGTAGAATGCTGGTGGGCGTTTGCCAGACAGGGCCTATCATGCGGGCCCTACACCTGTTCACACACCTGCCATTTTCTTTCAGAATCCTGTTCCCAGTGAGAAATGGGTTTAAAAGCCCAGAGCTGTGTTCTATCCACATTGGATCTGACCTACATTCCAATGCTCCTGTAAGTCTCCAGTTGGTCAAATGAGCAGTTTGATCCCTTGATCCTTCAAAATACTGGATATATTTATTTTTTCTTGCCTCTTGATCTTTCAAGCTTGAAATTTCTCGGCACATAAAAGTCTTCAAAATGCTCTCAAACTTCTATCTCCAAAGGCAATTTTTTTTCGCTTTTTCGTTCTGTTGTAGAGATAGTCTCACTGTGTTGCCTTAGCTGGTCTTGAACTCCTGGCCTCAAGTGATCCTCCCGCCTTGGCTTCCTGAAGTGCTGGGATTGCAGGTGTGAGCCGCTGTGCCCAGCCTCCAAAGGCATTTTTACCTGGCTCTGTACAATGGGAGCTGCTTCTCTATCTGGAGGTTGAAGTTTGTGTCGGGTTCTTGAGTTTGTGAGAACAGGATATGAAAGCAGAAAGCCTTTTAATCAGATGAGCAGCTATCTATGTTATGTTTTCACAGATTTTGATTATTCTAAGCAGGGCTAGTAAAAGTCTTCATAGCATTTGACATCTCATGTATTTGTCAGCTGAAACTTATTGTTTTCCTGGTTTTGCGGAATCTCAGTGAAATAATTCAGTGCTGTCAGATCCCAGGGAATCTTTTCTCCCCCCAGCATTTGCTGTATAATCAATAGATGTATATACCATATGGAGAGGTATGATCAGAGTCCACTTAGAATTAGTTTATTTCTCTAAAGATGCTTTTACCTTAGCCAGGTGTAGTGGTGTGCACTTGTAGTCCCAGCTACTTGGGAGGCTGAGGTGGGAGGATTACTTGGGCCTGGGAGTTCGAGGCTGCAGTGAGCCATAATTGCACCACTGCGTTTCAGCCTTGGCCACAGACCCTGTCTCCAAAAAAACGTTGTGTGTGTGTGTGTGGTTTTTTTTTTTTTTTTTTTTTTTTGAGATGGAGTCTAGCTTTGTCACCCAGGCTGGAATGTAGTGGTAGCAATCTGGGCCCACTGCAACCTCCACGTCCTGAGTTCAAGTGATTCTCCTGCCTCAGTCTCCCGAGTAGCTGGGATTGCAGCCACGCACTACCATCCCCTGCTAATTTTTTTTTGTATTTTTAGTAGCTCCCGGGTTTCGCCAGGTTAGCCAGGCTGGTCTCAAACTCCTGACCTCAGGTGAACCATCCACATTGACCTCTCAGAGTGCTTGGATTACAGGTGTGAGCTACCTCGCCAGGCCAGAAAGAAAACAAAACAAAACAAAAAAAAAAACAACTCTTATCTGGTCATTTGAAAAACAAGCTAACGACCTAGGCAACTTTCGTTAAGCTTATTTTCATAAGGGAGAACAAAACACAGTTAGTTCTCAACTTCTTGTCCCGCTTTGTCCCTATGTCCCTCATTACCTCCTCTCTGGTCGTCTTTCTCGTCTTCCTCCAGCAGCTGAGAACAGCGCCCCTTCCAATTTGAGGCCGGCCTGTCGGTGCACGCCCCTGGCCTCGCATCAGTGGGGAATCGCCCGTCCCTTCCCTGTGCTAGAAACTCTGTGGCTCTATTCCGTGAGCCTGCCTCTTGATCTCCTCATTCTTCTTAGTTAACGGCACCAGCTTAGGAGTAGCCTCCATGCTCCATCTTCATTTCCTTACCCCATCCACTCCACAGTCTACCATGCTCTTGCTGAGGTTACTTCCCTGGTCTCTTTCCTCTACACTCTTTTCCACATTCACTTGTCCAGGTGCACACGGATACCTACACCTGACTGTCCTACAGATAACTTGAGTTCAAGATGATGAGGAATAAACTCACCGTCTTACTCTACATGTCTGCCTGTCTTTCATGTGGGATAAGGGTGCTGTGATTTGCCAACTTGTCCAAGACAGAACATCTGGATATCATCCTTTATTTTTATTTTTTGGGATGGAGTTTCGCTCTTGTTGCCCAGGCTGGAGTGCAATGGCACTATCTTGGCTCACTGCAACCTCTGCCTCCCGGGTTCAAGCAATTCTCCTGCCTCAGCCTCCTGAGTAGCTGGGATTAAAGATGCCCGCCACCACAGCTACCTCATGTTTTGTATTTTTAATAGAGCTGGGGTTTCACCATGTTGGCCAGGTTGGTCTCAAACTCCTGACCTCATGATCTGCCTGCCTCGGCCTCCTAAGTGCTGGGATTACAGGTGTGAGCCACCGCACCTGGCCCTGTCCCCCTTTTCTAGGTAGCTGACTGTGCCTACATTTCCTTTTGTGGTCAGAACAACAGAGCTTGAGGATTGGCTTTGTCATTTCCTGACCCTCTGAGTTTCATTTTGCCAAAGGACAAGGTCCTAGAGGATGATGCTGCCTCGAGCATTCTGTGGCCCTCATGGCTGCAGGGTCCTCGTCACACCCACCATCTCTCAGCAGTGTGCCCTGTTTACAAAGGCAAACCAAGGTGTCCGGAATGCCGTTTCAATTGGCCATGGCTAGAGGCATTTGCAGCGGTGTTTATTGGGGTGATGACTGAGAAAGGAAATTGTGGTTGGGCGCAGCGGCTCAGCCCTGTAATCCCAGCACTTTGGGAGGCCGAGGCAGGTGGATCACAAGGTCAAGAGATTGAGACCATCCTGGCTAACATGGTGAAACCCTGTCTCTACTAAAAATACAAAAATTAGCTGGGCATCGTGGCACGTGCCTGTAGTCCCAGCTACTTGGGAGGCTGCTGCAGGAGAACTGCTTGAACCCGGGAGGTGGAGGTTGCAGTGAGCCGAGATCGTTCCACTACCCTCCAGCCTGGTGACTAAGCGAGACTTTGTCTCAAAAAAACAAACAAAGAAAATTGTATTGTCTTGGGGATGTCTCAGGGAGGGCATTAGATACAGCTACAAAGTTTAGCTTTCCAAGTGGTCTCCATTTTGGGCCAGTGCATTGGTTGGCAACTCCTGGGTGGAGCTGGGGTTACTCGGAAAAGAAAGGGGAGGTTCTGTAGGAGGATCGGTGTCTAAGAGGACTGGGTGGAAGGGCTGCAGAGCCAGCCGGTTGGCCTTCATGCTGCTCCAGGTGAGAACTGCCATCATCACACACCAGGAAGCCTGATCATGGCTGTTAGCAGGGGCACAGGCCAACAGATGTATCAGCAACTTGAGATGGCGAGGCACCTGCTGTGCAGCCCGGAGTGGGCGTGCATGTGGAGAAAGGGACTTGGACCCGGCGCGGCTGTGGGCCTCCACAGTACCTGTTGGGGGCGGGGCTGGTCTTGAGCAACCCCTGAATGGACTTTACCCTGAAGCTGGTTTGTGTAACTCCCGTAATTAGCTAACTAGGTTAGTCGTTGCTGACACCCTCCTGAGTCCTCAACCTTTTTTTATTTTTCCAGGACGATCTCTATAAACAGGTCATACAATATGCCACATGTTTTGTGCCAAATTCCTCTGTGGATATTTGACTCCATTTTGCATATTCAGGTGGCTCCAAGGCGGGCCACTTTCTCTTGCTGAGTCTTCACCTAGGGGCGATTTCACCGGTGGCTGCAGTCTTCCCCCACCCCCTCCCTGGCTTTACTTAAGCAATAGACTTAAGTCTATGTGTTATTTTGTCCACCCATGTATACCTTTATTCACTCCCTCCTGCCCCAAATGTTATTGACCGTCGACCAAGCCAGGCACTCTGCGAAGTCTAACAATCTGAGGCTCCATCCTCACGCTGAAGAGCTTGTGAGCTAAGCACTATTAAAGAAGTTCTTTAACCGGGCGCGGTGGCTCATGCCTGTAATCCCAGCACTTTGGGAGGCCGAGGTAAGCATATCACGAGGTTAATAGATCGAGACCATCCTGGCCAACGTGGTGAAACCCCATCTGTACTAAAAATACAAAAATTAGCTGGGCATGGTGGCGTGTGCCTGTAGTCTCAGCTACTCAGGAGGCTGAGGCAGGAGAATCGCCTGAACCCAGGAGGCGGAGGTTGCAGTGAACCGAGATCGTGCCACTGCACTCCAGCCTGGCAACAGAGCAACACTCTGTCTCAAAAAAAAGGAGTTCCTGTATGAACAAAATCCTGGCGTCCTACACACAGTTACTGATCCAGAGTTGCTCAGCATCCTTCATAGAGAAAATGCAGTCACATCCAATCTGTCATCAATAAATATGTGGTACTTATTATACTTTATATTCAATATCATCAGAGGATCATTCAGAACAGGTGCTACCTAGATTTAAGACTCTTGGTGCTGTCATTATAATCAAAAGTTTCTAACGACAGCCCACACATGCGAATGCAAACATAATAATATTAGTGCTTTTGGTTAAAACATGGCTCAGTGAAAGATTTCTGCAGGCCACACGTAGTATGCACGTGGAACTTTCTTTCTAAACCCTCTCTGAGTAGCGCAGTGAAACAAGAATACCGTAATAAAGGTTATGTGCAGTGTGGAAACCTAACCCAGGGGTTTCTCCCACAATATACCCCACCTGGGCAAACACACATTTGCATATCAATGCATGGATTACAGACTTCCTTTTCTGAGAACAAGAAGTTACCCTGTTACCCGCACAGGGGACCAACAGCCAGGAGCTTTCAAGTCCCATGCAATCTGAGAACAGAGGACTCAGGTCTTCAGAACCTCAGAGGCCAGTCCGCTAGAGCAATCTCTCTCTTCTTTCTCTCAGTGTGCAGGGATCCTGTTTTGTAACTTGCCCAGCCTTCAGAGATGGCCTCTTCCCACCTGCGAGGCGGTGAGGCCTCTGCAGCAGCCAGCTAGATTTTGAAATTGCATTTGGAGCCAGTCATTGTAAAAAGGCTGGTTCTTGGAGGCGGAGAGAGGTGGCTCTGGTAGTTGTTGATGAGCTCACCGGTAGGAACGGGACTTTTCAAACCGGCCAAATTAAATCCCAGGCCTTGAGCTTGGGCCCTGGGATTTGCTGCTGCTGCCTTGCAAGGAGCGGGTGGGCAGGCTCTGAGAGTATCAGACACGCAAAGTGCAGGTGAACAGGTAACCAGATCGGGGATCCCTGCAGGTGCCCTGAGGCTGGGAAACGGCGCTGCTGGGGTGGAGAGGCAGCCTGCAACGTGGTGTCCCTCTCGCCTGAAGCAGCCAACAGGTTAACCCAGGCCTGTTCCTGCAGGACTGACGTGCTGGTTCCAGTCGATGGAAGCAGATGCAGATCAGTGCAATTTCCTCTGCAGCAGTAATTAACCCGCGGGAACCTTGCTGGAGCACGTAGTTCCAGGAGAACGGCACAGGAGATGTTGGAGAGAGATGAGGGTTTTTCAGCTCTCATTGCAGTGATTTGCACTGCATTTCAGTGTGTGTTCAGTTCCAACTCGTTACCATAAAAAACCCTCACAAATTAAATTGCTAGGCGGGGGGATTGACTTTGTTTAGGTAGAGAGAGAGCCTGGGATGGTAGTGGGCCTTGATGGAGAAGTGGCCGTGAAAGTGTGTCCTCAGTTTCCCAATTGAGCATAGGAGGACCTCAGCCTCTCTAACCTCGAACCCATCCAGCTGGCAACCTACCATTTTGTTTGCTTTTTTTTTTTTTTTTTCTTGAGACGGAGTTTCGCTCTTGTTACCCAGGCTGGAGTGCAATGGCGCGATCTCGGCTCAAACAATTCTCCTGCCTCATCCTCCCTAGTAGCTGGGATTACAGGCACACACACCACCACGCCAGGCTAACTTTTATTTTATTTTATTTTTTAGTAGAGACAGGATTTCATCATGTTGGCCAGGCTGGTCTCGAACTCCTGACCTTGTGATCTTCCCGTCTCGGCCTCCCAAAGTGCTGGGATTACAGACGTGAGCCACTGCGCCTGGCTGTTTGCGTTTATGAATTGGAGGGCTGCCCGGGTCCAGGGAAGCCACTGTTCGTCTGCCTAAGCTGTAGCTGTTGGATGACATGGGATCCCCAACTTAAGTCGCTTCAAGGATAGGACCACTTTTGTGGGCCCCTCTGTATGTGGGCAGTCCTTCCATGATGACAGCTACCCTGTCATGGTGGGATTACTCTGGAGGGTGTATGTGGCCCAGGGACTGTGTACTCTCAGCGGGCAGGCCCTGTTTCAGTCATTTTGTATCCCAGCATCTAGCACAAGGTGCTCATGACTCAAGATCTACTTACGTAAAGAGTCAGGGGGATGAACACAAGGAATAACGTTCCCCAGAAACCCTTCCTTACACCGGAATTGATTCCCACCTGTCCTCAGCTTGAGTCATTTTCTGTAACTCCTTATTTCCGTCAGACACTTGGATACTTTTTTTTTTTTTTTTAATCTTAGCTC